AATTTGTAGCAAATTAGCACAATTTATGTGCTTCAGATACCTAATAATCAAACAATGCTGCTTCCCTCCTCCACCCAAAGTCAGCAGAAAACCAGACAGATTTAAGAGGACAAAAAAGCCACCACACACAGAAGCAATAATATCCCAAAGGAAACCTACAGGAGATAACTTTTTTTTTTAATTATGTGGAGCATTAACTGAAAGGAGCCTGCAATTAAGTTTAAAAATCTCTGTATGCAGCAATAGCCCAACAGCAGGAGGATGAGGAAGCCTCAAACTCCTTTTGTAACACAACTGCATCACCGCAGAAGAATAGCAAAAGAGCTCGACAGATAGCAAATCTGATCACATTGACTAGCTAATCAGTTCCTGATATATCAATATTGCAGGATCCTCCCACAGAGCATCACATGTGCTCTTAAAACATGAGGGTTTTGGCAGTTTTCACGGAAGAACTGAACAGCAAGGTCTCCTGGTAGAGATATTTGCTGCAAATTATTTAAAGCCACCCAAGCCATCAAGAATTAATGGACAGCAGCATGCAAAAAGCTATTTGGCCTTAATTTACTACTTCTCACTTTTATCTACACCTTAAGCAGCTGATCCCTTCCTACATACTTCAACTGGAAAACACTGGTGACAGCGCAGAGAAGCATGCCCCAAGCTGCTGCTCTGGGCAATAACAGGACAAGAGCTTGAGTTTTTACTTGTTTTCCTCTACACAGAGAGAGGTGTGACAAAAAAAACCAAACAAACAAACAACAAACCACACAAGTCAGGGTTTCAAAACCCAATCACTGTAATTCAAGGAAGTATAAGGTAAGGCGTGCTTGTTAATATTCAGGCAGGAAAATGCCTGGTAAATACAGCGTATGAGCACTGCTGACTGTGGCAAGCCCAAACGTAGACCTTTCCCAAGAAAGCACCAGTTTGCATTGATAAAGGCAAAGGAAAACATAATGGAAAAAACCTCAAGAGGGGTAAAAAGAACTTTTAAAAGCCATTAAATGGTAAATATCAGCACTGTTATGTTCCAGGGAGTTTTATCTTCAAGGTATATCAGTCAAGATCCACTAAAGGACCCCTCTTCACTGCAGCTTTACAGCCTTGGTCCCCCTGCAAGCACCACATGTGCTTTCTCAGTGCAGACACACATCCATCCACATTTCAACCCCAGCAGAAGCTGACAGGGATAAACCCTTCTTTGACAGGGCACACCAGAGCCCTGTCCTTCCTCAACTTATCCTTTATTCATCTCAGTGGCATAGCTGCTCAGAGCAGCTCAGCACAGCCCCACGACAAGCTCCACAAAGAACCAGCTGCGTTCCTCCTCCCCACAATTACATCCACAAGCCCATCACACACCTAAATAGCTCCCTAATACTGCTTTCCACAGTAGTATTTGAAGAGTAAGGAGTTAACCACGTCCCAGTCATTGTGACAACAGCCTAAGGGCACACTCCAGCCAGCCAGCAGATACCCCCATCTATCTACAGTCACCTTCTGCACTGCTGCCCCCCACTTCTCAGCTTATCCTCCTCCTCACAAAACTATCAAGCCTTTGAAAAACACAGCCGAACACTGAAGGATGGATGAGGGCTCATCACATGGCATGCCTAGAGCTTTAATGCAGGTAGCAGTACAGGTATACCAACAGGCGTTGGTACCACTCTGTAATAAAGCAGGGATTTTTTTGTTTTACCTACACCGACTGTGTGCAAACACCTACAAGAAATCAACTTTTGAGGTCTTGAAAACAGTCTAGAAGACAGACATAACCCAGGAAGATTTAAACCTACTCCAAAACCCTTCACCTTAGTAAGCTTTTAGAAGATGATAAAGCATTGGCTAGAGTACGCACTGAGAAGGAAGGTGCTTTTAAGTAGCCCAATCCAATAGTGAATTGCTGCTTTAGCCAAGAGACTGAGCACCTGCAGGGACACAAGCTTTGCCCTCCTTATGTGTAGACATGACCAAGTCCTCTAACAAGCCTTAAAAAGAATGTTTCTGTTAGTAACGAGCACTTCTTTTAAAGTTTAACATCCTCTTCTTGCCACAGAATTGCAGGGATGTGTTGCTTGTCTCCCCTGCCTCGCTACTAGAAGTAACACGCCTAAAGGATTTTCACCACCTCTTGGCTTCCCACAATGATTTCATTTCCCCCAAATTTCCAGTTTTAGGACTAAGAGTTGTGGATTACTAAAACTAAACATCTCTAACGCCCCTGGGAAGTGTCCCATTTCTCTGATTTTTGGAGGATGTGACACCAGCCCTCTAACATTTCTTAGGCTCTCCCGTGGTGCATTAGTCACTTGGACATACAGCCTTGCTCCATGGATCTATCCAAACTCTCCATTAAAGTGCGACCAACCTGGCATGCCGGTCCCAACCCAGGCAGAAAACACAACTTCATAGCTTTGCAACTCAGCAGGCACTAAAGTACCAAATCAGGGGTTCTGTGTAAGGAGCTGGACATTCTTCTGATGAAGGGAAATGGTGTGAGGAGGTCTCAAATCATGCCATGGTCACTCTGGTAAATGAAACCCCAGAGCTAATTTTCACAATCGCTGGCTGTGAAAATAGAAAGCATCATATTGAAAGGATAAAGCAGGAAGCATCCTCCTGCCTGCGCACTCCCGGGCAAACACACACCCACGCACAGGCTCAGGGATCAGACATGTCTGCTTTCAAAGCATCTTCCTCACTGCACTGAACAATTCCCCTCTTCCTCCAGAGCACCCACCACAATAAAACCATCTAATAAAAGACCTCTGGCTGCAGCAGTGACAGCTACCAGAGACCTCCCCCCAATCCCCTCCCCCCCCAAAAAAAACCAACCCCATGCACACTGAAAGATTTGCCAGCAGCACCAGGCTGTCCAGGTTGACTCATCACAATTTAGACCACCCGAACAATTAATATCCAAGGGTGCCTCCCAGAGGTGAGCCGCAAGAGGAAGCGGCCCTGTAAATGGAGAGCCGTGCAGCTGCTTTCCTAACACGGTATCTTTTCCTCCTCCACCAGGTTTCTTGGCCAGCATTTCATAGGTGAGCAGGACAAGCAGAGAAGTGGGGGAACGCCACCACTTTGGGATTTGGCTGGCAGACAGACAATTTTTGCTATTTGCCTTTTTTTTCCCCCCAGGTTGAAGGGGGAGGTTTCATTTTGTTGGGCCCTCTAAATAAAAAAAAAGAAAAGGAAATGATTTAAGACTTGCAAGGATTTCTTGCATAAGTGCTACATAGAGAGGAGCGAAAGCAAATACCTCCAGAGATCCCACAAGCTGGCAAAGGCCCAAGAACAGACCAGTTGAGGCTTCTCAGTAGACTTTTCCTGAAACATTTAAATAATTTAGAAAGCATTAACTCTTACTGACAGCTATTCAGACAGCTCTTTCACTTGCAGGGCCCTATCAAAAACCTCATAACTCTTAATCAAAAAGAGATACTGCAATGGCCCCAAATCTTGGTCAGGGTTGAGCGTGGCTTCAGAAAGGTGCTTTAGACATTTTTCTTTGCTGAAATGCTTTCCTTGTACAGGCAGGTCTTCCAGAGGTCACCACCTGCCACTTATCTGCAGCAGTACCGTGTAAAACATGCAAAAATGGTCAAGAGAGAGTCTATCAACAATTCACTTCCTTGGGGCTGTTCAGAGGAAGGGAGCTGTTCCCTGCGTTGTTTCAGTTGTGATAAATACCATAAAAATTAAGCAGCTGCAAGGTGTAAACTAGTAGCTATAAGACTTCTCCTTTGGGGTTAGGTGGAAGTGATGCTCCAGCACCCTCAGTTTCACACTCCAGCATCCCCCCAGGGTACCAGGATCATGTTTTGGAACAAAGTGGGTTGCTGTAAAGTTTTTATCCCCTTATTGCCACCAGAAATGAAAACAGCTAGTAAAGAGGCAGCAGTGACTGGTCCAAGCTTTGTAGTGAAATTACTCCTGCACCCATTCCTACTACCAACCCTCAAAAAGCATCTGGATGAAACAGCAGACCAGCTCAAATCCACCCCAAAAGTTAGATCAAACCCAAGGTCTACAGGGAAAACATGGAAAGACACGGAAGTAGAGCAGTGACCACTGCCACCTGACCACCAAACACATTTTCAGTTGTGGTTCCAGGCAAGACATTGAAAGAAAAACCGCCCCTTGCCATTAAAAGTGAAAACAGCCCAAAGCATCCCCAAAGGGCAGCCCAGCTGCCCTCCCCACAGAAATGGGTATTTTAAATCACAACAGGCTTTGGAGGATAACACAAATCACCCCATAGAGTTTCTATATCTAGGACCCACAAAACAGCAGCAGTGATACCACCACCACAACGGGTGGTGGGACAGCCAGCCACACCAGATCTCATTTTGCTGTCCATTGTCAACTCCAAATAAAAATGCCCCAGTCCAGTGGTGAAATAATCACAGACTGACAATCCATGATAGAGTGTTATTCATTAGGACATTGTTTATGGTTCGTCTACATGGCTTCCATGGCTACAGCAACAGGGATGATGTTTGCTAGCATTTTAGACAGATTACATATATACATTTTGTTTTCACTCAACACTGCACTTTCCCCACGTGAAACATCAGTATGTAAAGCCTTGCAGACAGGCTGTTAGGATGTTTTAGCATTAATTAGAGAAAAACCAGAACAGGTAAGATCCCTTATGCCCATCTCCCCACGCATATCTTGAAACTAAATTCAAACCCTGAAAGACAGCACTCTGGTTAATGTAAATTGAATTCAGAAGGTATTCTCCATCCTTAAACACAACAGCACACAGACATCCGGCACAGGCAATAGATATCATCACTAAGCAGCAAAGCCCATTGAAAATACATCAAGTACTGCCTTACTTTAGTGAATTAAATAATTAAAGAGCTGGCAGAGATGGTTTTCTAGATTTCCTATCCAAATGCATCACCCAGCAACAGTAGTGCTTCAGTTTTGGGTTTTTGGTTTTCTTTTCTGTTTTTTTTTTTTTTTCTTTTAAGAACACAACTTACCTGCACTACTTCTTTATTAGAGATGCTGTTCAGACAGCCTGCGCTCCCCTCCTGGCTGCTCCCCCTGAGCCACCACACTTGTTCCCAAATGCCACTTGCTCAGGTGGCTGAGGCGGCAACGGCTCCTGCTTTTTCAATGGCTCCAACATTAATCCATCCAGAGCATCTTTCTCCCTCACTTCCAATTGGCGAGTGGCGAATGGGTGGAGTGAGAGCGTGACCCATTAGCTCCCAGATGGGCACCTCCAACCCAGCTCTCCCAACCGGAGGAGCGATGCCGGCGAGCCGCTAACTTCACGCCTGCAAAGCAGCGCTGCTCCGCATGCCACCGCAGCCCCGGCCACGGCTGGGCTTCCTCCTCCAGCCACCCAGAGCCCGCTGCTTCTCTGAGCTATTCGCCTCTGGTAGCGAGGAGGAAAAATAGAATGATTAAAGTGACCCTGCTCTTCGGAGCCGACAGTTTTTGCTGGATGCTGCACAGAGAAAGCTTGCGTGCCTCCTTAAAAAAAAAAAAAAAAGCAGCTTTGTAGCAGCCAGGCTTAACTGAAGTGAGAAGATACTGTACCTTACAGAGAGAAGTACAGGGAAAACAAGAGGATGTGAAGATGCAGAAAGAAGAGAGGGAGGGAAGAAAACCTGCTGCTGAGAGGTAGATATAGCAAATTTCTTAAAGATATAGGTGCTGCACTCTGGGAGCACGGGGCCTGCCCAATTGCAGAGATGGGCTCCGATGTTTTTTTTCCATGCTCCCCAGCATGACAGTTCAGCTGCACGGGCAGCAGCAGTGCCAGGGTTAACACATGCATTCAATGAGGAGCCTGCATAAGGCAACGAGAAGCAGGGCAGTAAGTCTGTACTATAACAGCAAGTTGTGGAAAATAGAGCTGAAGAGACCTCACCTCATCCAAAGAAACTTAGATCTAAGCCCAGGGCTTGACTATGCAGACCCTAAAAAGCTTTGGAGGGAAGATGCCACATCCTCCCCCTCCTCCAGCCTATTCTACTGCTTCACTTGCCTTACAATTCAAGATTTTCATAACAATAAGCCAAGTCTCCCCCAGCTGGATATTTAAAGCCCGGAGGAATGGTCTATGCTGGCCAAAAAAAAAAAAAAGGGTATGCAGACCCTAAAAAGCTTTGGAGGGAAGATGCCACATCCTCCCCCTCCTCCAGCCTATTCTACTGCTTCACTTGCCTTACAATTCAAGATTTTCATAACAATAAGCCAAGTCTCCCCCAGCTGGATATTTAAAGCCCGGAGGAATGGTCTATGCTGGCCAAAAAAAAAAAAAAGGCGAAAAAACCTAACTCCCCAAAGCAACACCAAGTCAGCCTTAGAAAAGGCAGAACCTTCAAAAGAAAAAAAGAAGCAGAAATAAACAGTGAATTATCCAAATGCTGGCAAGACTGGGTCACTCCCCTACAGTAACTCTGACAGTTACTGTGACTTAACTAAAAATTTCCCAGTGATCATATTTACCAGGAGGCAGCAAAGGTTTCCCAGCGCACAGCGAGGCGAGGCAGGGCACGGCTCGGGAAGAGGCATCGCTTTTAGCTGAGGGATTCAGTCAGAGCCACATACCCCTGTTTTCAGTCCCTGCTACAGACTTGTTTCCGCTGCATGAAACCACAGGCAATGCATGTTTTTAAACACCTCCTACGCATTTTCTCTGCCGAGACTGCTCATCCAGTCTCCTCCATTTTTATTTTTTTTTTTCTTTTGCATGCCACCTGACAAGCTTTTCCAGGTAAAGCACATCATATTCAAATTGTTAATAAGATGTAAAGGAAGGATACCATAATTCATAAAGTATGCGAGGGTGGAAGAGACTCTTGGAGGTCTCTAGCCCCACTCCTTGCTCCAGGCAGGACCACTTTCAAAGCTGCATTAGGCTGCTCAGGACCTCATCTCATCAAGCTCAATAGCTTCTCCAAAAGAAGTTTTACAATCAAGACTCCTGTTCTTGGGATCAGCACTAACAGCAAGGCTCAGCGCCTAAAACAGCAGGATTTACAGAGTTTTTCCATATAGATTCTTTGCAGTAAAGCAACATGTAAACTTTTCAACCAACCTGGTACTCTGGAGGTACTTCCTTGTAGCGAGGCAAATCTACAATAGAGGATCTTAATACCTTCCTCTATACCCACACACTTGATACCTTTAATAACAGTTTAAAGGACAGAGCTGACAGCATCACAACCCTAAAGGTGAAACGAGCCTGCCTAGCCTCCAGCAGGTATTTCAGGTTTCAAACACTGACAGATTCATTTCAGCAAGTGAACAAGCTTATGAAACAAAAGACCGGCTAAGATCAGTTTCTATTTTTATTTTTTTCCATGCTGAGGTTGTTTATCAGCTCTCCCTGGCCAGCCTGCCTGGGCACGAGGGTGCAGCACGGACCAGAGCTGCTCCTCGGTGGAGATGACAGCAGCCAAGCGAGCACCACCAGGAGAGGTCTGAGAGGAGAGTGCATCAACACAACCATGTCACCACATCCAACAAGTCCTATCTTTCTTGCCACCCTCCTCACCCACCATCTCCAAAGCCCCCCCAGATCTCGGTGGGCTTCTCCGCTACCCCATACCACCCCGCTCCAGTCCCCAACCCTTTCATCCCTGGTCACGCACCATCCACTGGCCCAGTCCACCTCTGCGTCACCAAACGTTGCGGCCACGGGGCCAAATCCTGCGAAGAGCCAGCGCTCGCCCCAAACTGGCCATAGGGCGAGCGGAGAAAGGTGAGCCGGGGGTAGCAAAAAGAAGCTGGCTCCATCAGGACGGAGAAGATCGGAGAGCCAGGTACAAAGCAAACCGCGTCTCCCTTCACCTCCTTCAGCGGGTACTGTTGGGACATGCAGTCTCAGAGCCTTCTCCCCGAGAAGTTCCTTTTTGGAGCGGAATTAGTGCAAAAAGAAAGCCGCTCAAGCAGCCCCGCTGCTGCTGTCACAGCCCAGCAGAGCACACTGGAAAGGCTGCGTCTCCAGCCTGTATTTAAACGCCCCTCTCAGAAAGCAGAGATGCAGCACAGGAAGAGACAAATTCCAGCTCTGCGTCGGGCTGATAAGCCAGGTTTATAATATTCAAAAAGTATTGGCATTACTACAATTCCTCCCTCCCCCCCCCAACGAATATCTTGTGCAGTAGCTTGTTGTGCACAATAAGCAAAAAAAAAAAAAAAGCCCAATCCCTAAAAAAAAAATAAAAAATATAAAATCAGCCTGTTCCGGTGGGAACAGCCAACACGTTGAATAAAACAAACACACGCGTGTTAAACCCTAGGGACGCAATTAGCCTCGGAGCAGGGGGAAGAGGCGTTTAACTCCTAGAAAAGGCGATGGCAGCAGGCGAGGGGATGCCCAACACTGTTCCCTCTGGGCACCTGTGGGGTGCTTTTTCCCCAGGGAGCGAGGTCAAGTGGAAGCTTCCACCACTGCAGGGTGTCAGCACATGCCCCAACACCAGAAGGGGAGAAAGGCCACCTCATCCTCACCCCAAGACTGCCCCCCTCCTAGTTTTCCACTCTTTGTCTGCCCCACAAGTGGGTAGCTCCCAGCAATAACTCACTTAATCACCATTGCCGTTCAAAATCACCTGCAGCATCTTGAGACAAAGATTGCCCAGCTCCAAGCACTGACCAGCTGAGATCTTTTCTCCACCAGCTTCACATCTGGGTTTTTCCCCTCCTGCCAAAGCCCACATTATCACTAGCCTCCATTCATCCCACTATGGTACGGCTGCAGGGATGCCTTTGGGGCAGCCGCAGCCCCACAAGCCCGTCTGCTGCCATTTGCATCAGGTCCCTCAAACCTAGAGGGCTAAAAAGCACCCATGGGGAAAAAAAAGTTCCTGCCCAACACACGTATAAAGTCAGTCTTACCCACTCCAGTGCCTTACACCACGTTTTCATGCTTTTCTCCCCATCTTCTTGTGGTTGCTCAGCAAGGCACATACGAGGAATGAAACTGGACTCTCTTCCCTCCACACCCCACCCAAATCACAGCTCCCACTAGTCCACCAGAGCGTGCAGTCCCTGCTTCAGTAACAGAGTTAGACTGAAGCCCTTCATAGTGCCTTTTTTTTTTCCAATCACAAGTCAGAGCCAGGGATGAATTTAGAAAGGGGGAAATAGAAAAACCCATGGAGTTATAAGTGACAGCAAAGCGCTTTGATATCGAAGCCAGCACTGACAGATGCAGAAGCCTACAGTGCTCTGCTCCGGGCCAGCATGTCACCATGCTCTGCAGAAAGGCTTTATGGGGAGCTTATACTAGATCATATTTAGAAAGTTATATTACATTAAAAAAAAAAAAAGAAAAAAGTTTTTCGGTTTCACTAGGTCCTAGGACCCAGGGAAAGGAGCTGCTTTGCAGACTTCATTATCACAAAACACTGCTCAGACTCAAATTGGGATGAACCTCAAGGAATTGCCTCAGCATTCCCAGTTTTTAACTGTACTGCGTTGCATCCATCTCAGTGGACTCCTTAACCCCCTTTGGCAGTGACAGCACCACTCCACGCCTCAGCCACTGTCAGCAGCAAAGGTAGCGTGGATTTAACATATGCTGGGTATCTGCTGGTATGTTTGGCAGTAATTTACATATTTAGAGGGTAGATGACAGTTTCATGATGATGAGTCATTAAAGTGTCCCAGAGAGTTGTTTACTCTCAGAGAAATCCCACATAGAAACAGGACTTTTCTAGAAATGGTTTTGCATTAGGAATACGAAACCCAGTGGTTTTGCATTACGAAGAAGTAACTCAAGTGCCACCTGAGCCAGAGCAATAGAAAGCTTCAGGATAGCAATCACTGTGGCTTCCCAGAGACACTTAAATCACAGCACAGTATTAGAATTACTCACTGAAAAAGAAAAAAAAAAAAAAAGAACAAAAACCCAGAACAGTTTCCCCCTAGGTAATGTGATTTAGCACCTGTCTTTAGGCATAAAGTATGTATGCAGTGCATCACTGCAATTCTGCAAGGACAAGGGTTAGGTTTCAGTCTTATACAGGCAAATAAAACAGCTCCAGGCTAAGTTCCATTACTCTGGACTAAAATCCAACTTCACACCTAACCTTAAGCTCCCTTCTACAGAAAATATCAGATGTTTCACTGACACTTTTTTAAAAGACAACACAGAAAGCTTCCAACTTTGGATCCTTTTGCTTTTAAAACCAAGACATTTTTGTTTTCACATTGACTCAACATAAAAATAAAACTTGCTTTAACAACTGTTTACAGCCCTAAGTGATTTACTACAGCTTTACTAGAAGTCAAGGCGCTACAAGTTCACATACAGATGTCTTATGCCACCGGGGGAGTCAAGCGAGTGCTCCGTTTGAAAACCCAACTCGTATTTCTAGCTGTGCTCATTTAAACAAGCTGAAGC